GCAAGCAATCTCGATCTTTTATTATAAGTCTATCGACGCTAAAAGCTTCGTTAAGCTTTATATTTATCACATTTATAAGTATTTTAAAGCTCTTTTAACATTGACTTTTAATAAAAAACCTTAATATTAGTTTAAGTTTTAAAAAGAATTCAATAAGATCTTCGGAATTAAATTAACTTTTAACACCGCCGCATACTTTAAGATTAACGATCAAACCGAAATCTATAACTAGTACTTGCAAAAGCGCTTCCGTTCTTTCGTAAGCTACTATTAAGACGATTAAAGTGAGTTTTTTCTTATAATAGACTTCGCTTAATTAACGCTTTTTCACGACTCTTTCGGCGATCTTTCTTTATTTAAAGTAATTCACGGCTACGCTTTTCGGACTACTTGAAATTAAACTTTAAAACGACTTGACGACTAAACCCTTTCTCGCAAGCTTAACTAAGACGAAGCTCGCGCTTACGCTAACCGCTACTTTAAAGCTTAAAACCTCGCTAAAAAGCACTTTTAGCGCGCTTAAGACCGCATAGCTAAACAAGCTAATAAATCAAAGCGCTAAGTTGACTTCGACGTTAATAATAAAGTTTAGTTAAATATACGCTCGTTCTTTACCTTTCGACCGTTAAAAAAGCTCGATAACCTTACGAACGGACCGTTCGAAGTTACCGATAACGTCTATAGCAGCTTCAAACTCAAGCTCTTCGAATTAATAAAAGTTCACTTAGTCTTTTATTTCGGACGATTACGAAAAGCTTTTAATAACCTTACTCTCGAGCAAATCATTCTTAAACTTGACTCGATTAATATCACTAGCGAACTTAAGTACGAAGTAAAGAATATCTTAGCGGTACGCTAAACCAAGAAGCACTTTAAATACCGCGCTTCTTAGCTCGGCCGCGACATTAACTTTACTTAATATCTCGCTTCCGACTTTATATACGCTCTTTTTAAAGTACGAGACTTTTATTTAAAACATAAAGAGCTCCTCGGCCTTCCCGCGAAGCTCTTCGAATAGATCAAAGCTTATTCGAACGGTATTAATAACTACGATCACTTAAGCAGCGATAAAGCAATAAATAGACGCTCGAAGACGAGCTTTTTTCGAACGGGAAAGTAGTATAACGACACGCCAAGTCTTTTAAACGCACCTTATATACGCTAAGCTACTTCTTTCTTTTTTTCCTTCGTATTCTTCGTATTCTCTTATTCCTCGCTTTTAACTTATAAACCATAATTCACGAATCTTTAACGCTCTTACCTTCGTATATATAAACCTTAGCTACTTTCGACCTTTACACTCGGTAGTTATTGATTCTAAGTCATTACTTTGAGATTCTCTTAAGCTCTTATATAAACCCCCGCGCTCCCGTAAGTTCCTTCAGGTAATCGCTTAAGGTCGTCACATCCCTAACTACTACTACTACTACTACTAGCTAGCTAAGGTCGATATGGATATACCGACAGTTCTATTATAGCAGTGTTATTGTTTAATACAATTATCAGTCCAATCTAATAATTCATCGCTACTTTAGCGATCACGCTATTATATATAGTACGGGTTGATTTTAAAACAAAGTGATTAGTCTTTTTCTTAGTGTTTTCTTTTATTATTAAAGCAACTCTAAATAAGTCTTTTTAAGCAACTCTAATTGAGTTTTTACTTTTAACAGCTTTAGCAGTGCTAGGTATTATAAGAACGGTATTCTTTAGCTTGCCGACGTTTAGATCAAGTCTTGACTGCAATTGAGCGTTTAAAATACGCTTTTTTTTCTTTAAAAGTGCTTTAATCGAAGCTTTAGTCGAGGTTTCTTATAAGATCTTAGTATTAATGATATAAGTCTCGTACTTAATAAATTTAACGTTTATAATAATAAGCTCTTAAAGAGTCTCAACGTTCAATAGCTTATATAAGCAAGAGCTTGTCATGCTAACTAAGATCTACGATCCAGCTTTAGTTCGTAAGTTGAGTTTGTGAAGTTGTTTTCTTTTAAGCTTTAACGGAATAGCTATTAAGTTAAATACTTTAAGTTTCGAAAGGTCTTCGGTCTTGCTTTTTTAAGCTTTTAGTAGCGTAATTCTTTGTATCGATTTGAACGGGAAAGCTTTAGTAGGTTTTCTATTCTTTAGCTTATACGCGTATTCTAATACGTAGCACTATATTGTATATCTTTGCTTCGAGTCGAATAGAATTGATTTTGCGATTTTCGAAAGCTCTTATATTATATGCTTTACAACTCTATTAAACGATTGTTTGTATAAAAAAGCTATTTCCGATATTATCTTTTTTTAAAAAAGCTAGCTGACGAAGGCGTTTCCGAACTCTTTAGTTCTATTGTTTATTCGTTAAGTTATTACTACGCTATTGCTTTGCTTTTCGAGCTTTTCTTTAAGGTTTTTGATAATCAAGAGTATCTTTTCTATAGTCTTCGTCTTTAGCAGTTTTAGCTAGCAACACTTATATACGTCGTCTATTATTAATAAGAAGTATTTGTAGCTTTTAATAGAAGTTGGTAATATATTAAAGATGTCCGCGTATAGTCGATAGAGCTTTCGATCGCTCTTAAAGTCGGTTTTCTTATTGTAATGCTCTTTTATTCGACTTGCTAAGCAGCTTTCGCACGCGTCTTCTTTTTTTAGTTTAATTGATTCGGACATTTTTAAGTTGTAATTAGCGTTAATCAACTTCTTAATATAATCGAAGTTTATGTAGCTTAAGCGCTTGTATAATAGATCTGCTTGTGTTTCGTCGAAGGACTTAATTGTTTCTATATTATCTCGCATAATAATAAGTCTTGTATTCGATTTATTATTCGCTTGCTTAATTGCGAGAGATATAATAATAGTATTAGCAATCGATAAGGATAAAGTATATAGACCTTTTTTAATTCTCGTAGCAATGAATGCTAGTTCTTTATTTTTCAAGCTTTTAGCATCGTGTTTGCTAAAGCTAGTAGATATATTTTCGTCCGTTAAACGTAATACCGAGATTAATCTTATATTCTTGAATTCAAAGACGTACTATACGTTTTTGAGTTTCAAGGCTTTAATAGTGCAGTCATTATATCTTTACGCTTTAGTAATAGTATTGTTCGCTGTTTTAACGTACTTCTTAGACTCTTACTTTTGAAAGTTTGTAAAATCGTCTTTAGTTTTTAAGAAGTGTGTAATAGCGCTAGAGTCTACTTTCTATATTACGGAAGTACTAGTAATTGCAAGAGCTTTTAGCTCTTTAGTCGTTAGCGCGGTTTTACTTTAAGAACGGTAATATATAAAATCATTTTTAATTTACTCTATTACTTTAGCGCTGTTCGCTGCTTCATTTTTGCTACTAGTCTTTTTCTTTCGGTAGTATTTCTTTATAGCTCTTTTATTCAAGCACTTAAAGATCTAATGATTGTTTATGCCGCAAGCGTAATAGTTCTTATCTTTGCTCTTTTTATATATGCTACTTCGTCCGCGTACTCGTTTTCTTTTTCTTTATCCGCGCTTTTTTCTTCGTCTTCGTCTACTTCTTTTGCTTATGTAGCGCGATTCGTTTGCTTTTATTGCGACTATAAAGTCCTCGAGTATTAAAGCGGTTTAAACGGTTTTGAGTTCGGTAGCGTATTAGACTTTTAAGACTTTAAAGACAACGAACGTATCTTAAAAGGATTTGTTAAAAAAGCGAAGTTGCATCTTGATCATAAGCTAGAAGCTTGAGTTAAGTAGTCCTTTGATAAAGATGTCCTTTACTCTATTATCGTTAAGGCAATTAAGGTACGCTTTCAATTGCGCTTGGAAATTACGTAATCGATAAAAGTAAGTGTCGATAGTTTTAGCTAATAGAATATACTTTTCGTTCTATAGCTAAGTCTTAAAGTTATCTTAGTTGCTCGCGCCGTTGATAATAGCTTCTTATTAAGTAGCAATTGCGTTCTAAAGAATCCGAAAGTCGTTTTAAAGAGCTACATTTATATATTAAGTAAAAGTATGTTCCGATAAGAGTGAAATGATTATCGATAAGGCTTCTCTTTTGTCTTTATCTTATCTTTAGCTTCTTGTTGTATTCTAAGGTCGAAGGAATGGACTTTCGAAGACGTGCTAAGATACGCCTTTTTCTATAAGCTTTTTGATTGCTACGAGCTTCTAAAAGTAATAGTTGTCTTTTGTTAGCAAGCGTTTTTCTTCTTTTTCGAGTATAGATTTTAGTAGCATATTGATTATAAAGTATAAAGTAGATTTGAATTGAGTTGTTTTTGGATTTTTAATTGAAGGTTTTTAAGGTTTTTCTGATTCTACTGAATTGCTATTATAATAGAATCAAGAGTGCAGAAGGTATAGTGTATTCGGTATAAGAGTACTGAAAGCTAAGTATAGGTGTTCTTAAGGGAACAGCCAAGAGCCAAGAGGCTAGTCCAACCAAGGGAATATAGGTGACAGTCCAATATTCTAACATAATCTGCACATGTCGGAGAAACCTACTCAGTTACGTTTGCAGACTGGAACCTTGCCATCCTCGACGGAGGGAGGGCTGGAGGTGCTTGATTCTGTTAGGGGATAGATTGTAAAAGAGAGGAAGGACAGTACATTTGCCAGCCCTGTTCTCATTAACTGATTGAGCAGGCAGTGAGTGGTGTTGACTTGAGACACACTCTCAAGCGAGAAGTTTGGTTTCCGTGCTTGGCTGCTGCTACTACTCAACTCACTTCTGCGATTTCGAAGGAGAGTCCTTTGAAGCATGATGGTAACTTTTTTTTCCTATTTTTTTTTTCTTCTTTTTTGGAGTTTCAAGCTTTCTTCTCCCAATTCTCAGTTCCTTATGACAGTATACGCCTCCCGAGCGGAAGCAAAAAGACCGTCTTGAACGCAGAAACAACCGATCCTTGACAAGTACAGAGGAGCCTGAAAAACGGCCTTTGTGGTAGATACCTCCGCATGCATCACAAAGTCTCATTTCGTTCGGGCGAGAATCGACAAAGAAAGGCCACTTCCATCAAAGAAAGCAGGGACAGGAGAGGAGAGGGGAGGGCCTGCGATATATTTTTCCATTTTCCATTTTCCGTTTTCCGTTTTCCATTTCTATTTCCGAATTCGCTATTTGTATCATCTGTTGTCGTGCGAGAAGTATAATTATTCTACATAGACCCTACCCTATTTATACATAAGGTACCATATGCCGGCTGCCGAGATGTCAGGGGCTCGAGATCTCGCGTCGCCCGTTAGTCCGATTGACAGCGCGAACGAAGAGGAGACTCCTACGGACCATGTTCGCGACCCCAGTTTGAGGGGTCCTCCGGCGGGTCCGGCACGGCTGTATACCGAGACGACAAGGCCGGGTAGGTTTAGAACGACACCGCTTGCTCCAGTGCCGGTTTCGACAGCTTCACGAGGGCTTGGGCTTGGACTGGGACTGCACAGCGATGCGGGTTCTACTAGCCCGGCTTGGGAAGATACTCTGGAAGCTTTGGAAGAGCCATCGATTCCACCGCCCACGGCACAGGCTGCAAGTGGTCCGCTGCTAGACCCAGCAGCTCAAGTCCTGGTGTCGTACCCACCTGGTACCAGTGCCGAGATTCGTTCGGGCAGCTCCTCCTTGGTTCAGGGAACCGTAGGAGGTTGGGAATTGTTTGAAGCATCCTCGCTTCCGTCCGCCGACCGCGGTAGTGATCCATTTCCGCCTTCGGGTCGACCGGCCCGAGCAAGTACAGGCCTTAGCACAGCCCGAGAAATGGCCCTGCCTGAAAACCTCCGCCTAGACTCAGTTCCGAGTTCTTCCATCTTGTCCACAGGATGGCAACTCTCTACACCACCCACCAGACCCTGGCGAGCCCGCAACCCCCCGAGCGATAGCCCCTCCTGGAGGCAGAAGGGATACCTGGTGATCTGTCTCGAAGACCTGGGACAGGACGAGCTGGCATCGAGCGGATCGACGAGGTTTCCCGGTTGGACATTCGAGGAGTTCGACCTGGAAAGATACACCAAGGTCAGGAACTCGCAGAATCCCAACCCCATGTTCCCCCGGAATGCCATTCCGCATCTGAGACGCGGCCTCTCTGTCGAGAAGAGGATTACGTACATCTCCGGCAGCCCTTCGGAAGCGTTCTTCAGAACTCTTCGGCCGGTGCTCACGGGGTTGGCTGGGTATCTGCTGAGCCACCAGCCGGGCGGCGCGGATCGCCTTGGGCGTGTCAATCATCGTGCCAGTGCAGAGAGCATCTATGATATTATGACAGACGGGCCGCCAGTGACTGGGCCCAGCAACAGCGCGACTCCTCCTGCACACAGATTTATCGAAGTCGTCTTAGGGGCTGGCGAGTCCGCGACGGATTTCGTAACTGGAATCATCGCCAACCCTCCACCGATCCCGCAAATTGCAGAAGCGGGCGCAAGGGGCGCGCCTGGCGCACCTGCTACCCGTGGCTCTTCCACTTTCGGGGCGAACGCTCCTTGGGTTCCGGGTAGACGCTCCGTATATGATGTTGTGCCGGGAAGCCAACCTGCGTTCCCATCTCAGCCCCGACCAAATCGTAGCCCTCCAGGCAATGATGAAACCGCCGAGACGGTTCCTAGGCTTCTTGGTGACCTGGGAGTGGCCATTGAAGCGGCCCTCGCTGCGGCTGCGGTCCTCAATGGGGCGGAGAGAGACCGTGTCCGTCCTATTGGGCCTGTAACTCAGCCTGTTGCCAATACTGGCGGAAACCCTCTGGAAAACGGAGCGGCCCAGCCACCGGACCGTACCTCGGGAGGTACTGCTGCTGCCAACGGCAGAGCCGGTCCAAGGAGACGCACCGCACTGGCCGCTGCGCAAGCACTCGCCAGCGGAAACACCGTCAATGGACACACTATGCTTGCACAAGCGACAGGAACGACGGCGTCGGCCTCTGGTGCTTCGGGATCTTCAGCGCTCGTTGAAAATGACAGTAAGTAGCCAAGTACAACTATTCGCTATTGTGAGAAGATGCTAATTCAGATAAATCCGCTAGTTGGAGCCCTGATAGCGCCGATTAACGCCCTGCGGAACGAAGTGAGGAACCAGGCCCGAGTAGCCTCATTCTGGCACATGATGAGCTGCAGTTTGCACGCCATCGTCTTAATCGCAGTATATGGTCTCGTTCGTCGGCTCTTTGGATGGGAGTGACATGGTGACCGAAATTAGCTGTGTGGCGGTAAATTCATGTAATCTGTAAAATCATATAACCGTCTTCTTTCAGACCGAAAGTATTCGGTGCTAGGAAACGAGACAGAAGTAAAATAGTATTGTGCAGCTTGATCCCGAAATAGCCCCAAAGGAGGAGCAAGTACAGTGTATGAGAAAGGAACTGAGAGGAAGCAGCAAATAACGATGATGAAATGCCCCCCCCCAAAAAAGCAAAATTTCTCATTACACTCAAACCCAAGCGAGCAAGCACGAAGAGTTTTTGGGCGAGCTGCGCCAACGAAATAATCAAGAGGTTTGCGAACCTCCTTGTTGCACATCGCATCCAATGTCAAAATCGGTTCCGGGACATTGAAGCGGGCTGGGATACCCGAAAATTGACATCTTGCACGTCCCCCAGAATCCCACACATTCGAAACACATTCTCCGGAACGCAACATTGAAGCCGTGTGTATTTTTGATCCTAGGTAGATCACCTCAACTCTGACGTCCATACTTTACAACTTACTCTTTGCTGTCGCAATCTTCATCAAGGCCCGCCCATTGCTCAGACACACCTTCCCACCGTCAACTCTCATGATAAACCTGATCTCCTCCCACTCCCCCTTCTTCTCGCCCGTTCTCCATATATCCGTTATGAGCTTGCAGCCCGGCTTGACAGGCGACGCAAATCGTGCCTGAAATTCCTTTATATTGGCCGGATCACTGCCACCAACAGCATTGAGCAGAGCATAGGCGGCGAAGTTCCAGGACGAGAGCCCGTGCATGATGGCTCCTCCGAAACCCATCTTCTGTCCGGGCTCAGGGGTGGCATGGAGGGGGTTGTAGTCACCGTTCAATCTTCACACGGTCAGTCCCTACCCTCAGGTAACCCACAGGCGTAAACACATACCTGTAAAGCAACGCCGACTCAGGCGTCAACTGCTTCTCCACACTCCAGTCCGGCTTCTTGCCTTCCGGCGGGGGGAAGTTTTCCGTAGCCGGTCCCTTGGGGCCTCCCCAGTTGCCCTGCCCAACGAAGAATGCGCTGCCCTGCATCTGGACATAGCTCTCCCCCGTCTCCTTGTCCACGATATCCAGCTGGTTCTCGACAACGGAGCCAGACTTGCCTTTATCGTAGACACCAATGACCTTGTTGCGAAGCTCGAAGTTGCGGCCGGCAGATGTAGTGGGGAGGGGCTTGAAGAAGGTAATCTTGCGCTGGCCGTCGAGCACGCGAGTGGAATCGAATTTTGGGACGCCAGGAATAGGGGTGGCACGCTGAGCGGCGTAAAAGTCAATCACTTCTTGCGTGGTGTTTTTGAAAGCTGGGAGTTTGTTAGAAAGCACTGGGCGTGGATGGATGTGAAGGAGAGGTTGCTTACGGAGGATGACGGGGTATGTGGGAAACATGGCAAAATTTGGGTGCAATTCCTACAGGGTATGTGAGCTGAGTGTAGAGATATATAGGTAGAGAGCCTGCTTGCGTACGTATAGGAAGTGCAATTCTTCAGCTTTGCATCCCAAGCTGTTTGCGAAGAGGAGGACATCCCGCTGCAACCAGGAGACCTCCTGGCGAGGGTACTCGAAACCAACTCCTGGGCCACTCATTTTTGATTCTGGAATGGGGAGGGGGGAGGGGGGTTCTTGTAGAGATTCTAGACAAGAAATATCGAGGTAATTAAGAATTGTAAGATTCAAAGGTCAGAGGTAGACAGATAAACGAAAAGACGATGGTGAGCTTCCCCAAGTTATAACGGTAGCGTCCGGCCCCACGTTCGGCTATCCAGGCGCCCAGATATATATGCCTCGGCTCCAAGACCAGCCCAGCCCGTGGCTTCGAGAGCAATTACCGTAAACAATCAGGAATTCCTTCCATATTATTCACAGTCGGTCCAAGGTGGAAAGAATTTACTGGTTGCACTCGGCTAATCCAAAAAATTCTATGGATTCGAGTCATCACTATGAATCCTGTTCAAAATACCCCTGGGTGCTGCGGCTCGTTCCACAAGTCCGGTGAGGAGAATGTCAGCATCTCGAGACTCACAAGTTCGGTGAGGAGAACACTGCTATACATAAACAAATACCTCCCTTGATCCACGCACCTAACATCGGAAATCTCAAAGCCCTTTCTCCCTCTCCTCTCAGATCCAAGATAACTAGTCAGCGCAGCACAATAGCTCCCCGTCTCAAACCATGCGTCCCAGACGTCGTTCTGGTGGTCCAGGCAAGCAGCATGCCAGCCGTCCTACCTCACCTCAATCAACAGTGGCAAAAGACTCCCACGCACCAATATACTTCTGGCGCGAGTATGGCTCTCCCCACAGTTACCTCTCTCAATGGTACCCCTCCCCCTTCACGGTCCCCTGCACGCAAATTACCTACAGCACCGCCGAGCAGTACATGATGCACCAAAAAGTCCTCCTGTTTACCGACACTATTGTCGCATCGCAAATCCTAGCCTCAAAATCGCCAAAAGAACAGAAAGCCCTGGGCCGGCAAGGAGCAAAATTTGATGATGATGTGTGGAAACAGAACCGGGAGCGAATTGTGGAGGAGGCGAGCTATTGGAAGTTCAAGATTGGGAGGGATGAGGGGGAGCTGAAGGGAAAAGAGGTGGGTATGAGAAGAATGTTAGAGGGGACTGAGGGGAGCCAGATTGTGGAGGCGAGTCCGAGGGACAGGATCTGAGGGGTTGGGTTTGGAGAGAAGAATGCTGGAAAGAGAAAGACGGATTGGGGACTGAATTTATTAGGAAAGGCGATTATGGCCGCGAGGAAGAGGTCGAGGGAGGAAGTTGAGGAGGGTGGAGAAGGGGAGAAGCAAGAATTGGAGGATGAGAAGACCCGGAAAGAAATGGTGATGATCAGAGAGAGACCAAGCGGCGTAAGAAAAGCAAGACTTGAGTCGCACTGGTTGGTGACTGGCTGCTCTTGGAAGCAGATAATTTCAAGGAAACGGTGCACGAACTCTGACATACCGAGAACTATACCAGGACTTGTAGAACTCGAGGTTATTCACGGCCATCAAACAGCTGAATGTAAAATGATTGGATTTGTCAATCGCTATCGCAAGCAAGACGCTTGCCATCGAGTGAACGGCTTTTCTTCCACTGGACATCTCAATGTCACCTGCTCCATTAGTCCTCCAGTCAAGTTCTGAGGGTTCTTCTCGTTCCGTAACAAATCAACGCAATTAAAAAACGTAAGAACCCATGCTCGTTCAGATCGGATACTACAACCCGAGTGATTTTCATGAAAGTAGCGACCATTCCAAGACGTAAGCAGACCTCGCAGAACTGGGAGAACCACGTAGCGTAGCATCATAGCCATCAGTCCGATTTCGGATGAGCTGACCCGTTCAATTTGAAGGAAGCAAGTCCATCTTCCCGTTTATTTTACCATTCGGGTCAATCCAGGCTGGCTCGATTAATCTCTCTCGCTCCTGATACAGGTATTTGTATGCAGTGCGGATCGTGCCGTCGCTAACACCAGCAATCTGTGAAATCTCTTTCGGGGTCTTCGGATTGCCGAGAAGAGCGGAGGCCATGAAGATGCAGGCGGCAGCGATGGAGAGAGGGGAACGACCGGCGAGATCACCGACGGTAGACATCTTCTCTGCAAGGCCTTGAGAGACTCTGACAAATTTCATGCCTGGGAGTCCGAGCTGACTGCAATAACGGACGCAAAGATCTTGAGCATTGGTCGAGGTAGTGGCCTGGTATGGATCTTCGGCTGACACGCCTTAGGTGCACTGTTAATACAAAAAGATATGGTCGCGGCAATCGCAACCAACTTACCAGCAACAACCTTCTGAGCCCCACCATTGTTCTGAGCGAAGAACTTCTCAAGAGCCTTGAATGTTCGACCGATGTCCTTCTTGGAAACCTTTGTCAAGGCGTATATCTCTCGGAAGGTACGGGGAACTGCGCACTGGCGGCAGGCAATGAAGATACATCCGGCGATGATTGCTTCTTGGGACTTGCCCTTGAAAGCCTTTGCGTCCTCGACCTTCTTGAACAATAACTTGGCACAGTCGGAGACAGACTTGGAGAGGTTAACGGCGTCGCAGTGAGCACCGATCTCCTTGTATGCTGCGAGCAGACTCTTGGTAGACTTGTCGTTGGAAGATTTGTTCTGAGTACGCATGAGGTCACGACTGCGAGAGTTACCATCTTGGAAGGAAATTGAAGTAGTGAGTTGGGATCCGTTCAGGAGAGGGTTTGCGCCATCGCCGACACGAGATGGGTCATCGTTGCCTTGGTCATCATTGGCAAAGGTACGCCATTCAGAGCGAGTATCAACGATACGATCGCCGAGGACCAGGCCGCAAGAGCCGCAGACCATATCGCCAGAAGAGAACTCCTCCACGAGATTGGGCGGAACCTCCTTGCAGTCCTTGCAGATCATAGTCAAGTTCAGGTTCTCGCTCCAATCAGCGGAGGCCATCTCGACGGCTGAGGGTGAGGCCATCATCTTTGGTGTGTACTTCTTGGGCCGATAGATGTTATCGAACTTGTTGAATACCGGGCGCTTGCTGCGCTTGCGACGGACCTCCTTTCTCTTGCGCGATGTGACAAGCCGAGCTCTGGCGTCTTTGGTAGGTTTTCTGCACAGGATCTGGGTCGAAAGCTTGACAAAGAGTGGGGAATGCGTTTTGGCGGTATTGAATGGAACTACGGGAGAGGCTCTATTGGTCGTCGAAGATTCGACGCCCCGTGAGTCAGGTTGGCAGAGAGGCCTTGACCTGGAAACAGAGACTCGGGTGCGCGAGATGCGACTTGACCTTATGCGGAAGGTTCGACGGATTGTTGAGATCTGGTCGCTGGAGCGCGGAGGATGGGTGTCCTGTGAAGTAGGGTAGGTAGGTAGGTAGGGTTGCGCGCATGAATACTTGGGTCTCGAAAGAGCTGCTGCGCCGAGGATGACGAATTTCTCAGAAGCAGGACCAGTGAAGGCGTCTGGGAAAGATTCAGAATGTCGTAGAAGCTGTCAGTGTACTATCGCGGTGGAAAGATGACCGGCAACTTTGTTGTTGAGGCGACAGGTCGACGTTTCAGCTTCTGGGGGACGAGCGAGGGTGAGTTGCAACGAAGTCGCCCGAAGGTGAGGCTGAGCGGAGGAGATATTGACCCGCAACGCCAAGGCTTCTTATTCTGGTGCTAGCTAACACGTGACTGTGTTCTTGAGTGGACGCGGAAGCAGCAAATGCCTGAAGTTAAGCTGAGCTAGCTAAGCTGATTCACCATACCTCGCAGCTCAAGTCTCAACCGACCAACCAACCGATAACCTGACAAACGAGTCACTCCTCTACTCTGCCAATCTCCTCTACTCTCTTCGCCGCTATCTAATACTCCATACTCAACAATGTCAACGTTAGAGGATCTCGATGAGCTCGAGCGGGAGCAGAAGGAGGACAAGAAGGATGGCGACAAGGACAAGAAGCCGACAGATCAAAATGTCGACACTGAGATGAAGGACGATGCACAGAAGGAGAAGGAAGAGGACCCCATAGATGAAGAAATCTACAGCCTGGATACCCAGAATATTATGACGCGAAGACGGCTGTTGGAGAACGATTCCCGGATCATGAAGAGCGAGTTCCAGCGTTTATCACACGAGAAGGCTACGATGGGCGAGAAGATTAAGGACAACCTGGACAAGATCGAGAATAACAGGTATGCTGGGTGAACAAAGCTGCAGAGCGCGGAATCTAATCTGATACCAGGCAATTACCATATCTTGTTGGCAACGTGGTAGAACTCCTTGACCTCGAGCCAGAAACCCAAGAAGACGGCTCCAATGTTGACCTCGATGCCACTCGGGTCGGCAAGTCCGCTGTCATCAAGACCTCTACCCGTCAAACGATATTCCTCCCGCTCATCGGTCTCGTTGATCCAGAACAGCTGAAGCCAGGAGATCTGATTGGTGTAAACAAGGATTCATACCTGGTCCTGGATACGTTACCTGCCGAGTATGACAGCAGGGTCAAGGCCATGGAAGTTGATGAGAAGCCAACTGAGAAGTACACGGATGTAGGAGGTCTGGACAAGCAGATCGAGGAACTGGTGGAGGCTATTGTCTGGCCGATGAAGGAGGCTGAGAGATTCAAGAAGATTGGCATCAAGGCCCCGAAGGGTATGCATGAAGTCCATGTGGCCTGGATTTCGTACTAATTTCTACTAGGCGCTCTGATGTATGGCCCTCCAGGTACTGGCAAGACCCTCCTTGCCCGAGCTTGCGCTGCTCAAACCGACGCCACCTTCCTCAAGCTTGCCGGTCCACAACTCGTACAGATGTTCATTGGCGATGGGGCAAAGCTAGTACGGGATTGCTTCGCACTTGCAAAGGAGAAGGCACCGGCGATTATCTTCATCGATGAGTTGGATGCTGTAGGTACCAAGCGATTCGACAGTGAGAAGAGCGGAGATAGAGAAGTCCAGAGAACCATGTTGGAACTCCTGAATCAACTCGATGGCTTTGCTTCCGATGATCGCATCAAGGTTCTCGCAGCCACCAACAGAGTTGATGTTCTTGATCCTGCTTTGCTTCGTTCCGGACGTCTCGACAGAAAGATTGAGTTCCCACTGCCCAACGAGGAAGCTCGCGCACAAATTCTCAAGATTCATAGCAGAAAGATGACGGTCGATGGTGGAGTCAACTGGCCCGAGTTGGCACGAAGTACCGATGAGTTTGGTGGTGCTCAGTTGAAGGCTGTCTGCGTGGAGGCTGGCATGATTGCATTGCGGATGGGGAAGAACAAGATCAGCCACGAACACTACGTGGATGCGATTGCAGAGGTCCAAGCGAAGAAGAAGGGTAAGCTTGGTCTAGGTCTACGAATTTCGAATGACTTGCTAACTGGTCACAGATACTGTCAACTTCTACGCCTAAGCGGCTGGTGGTCGGTTTTGCTTGTACGAGGGGAGTTGGGCACGGCGTGGCTGCATAGGGGAAGGGCCTTGTAATCATAAACAGATCGTGGTCGGCTTTTTTTTCGTAGCATGACTTTCGGACTTGATGCAATGAAAGTGAAAGTCACTCTGAGTAATCAATCACCTCTGTCAAACCTCTCACTGCTTCCCATGATACAAGTGAGAAAAATATCATTAATGATATACTGAATTCATTGGTACCTCCATGGTCGAAAACCATGGAGAGACTTTAAAACGAATCTCAGGCGACTCTCCCAAGCTCCGGAGGTGGGATGGAGGTGATGTGGGTGAGGCTGATTCAAAGGCCCACTTTTCCTTTTCGAGTTGGCCATTCCTCTCAACCTCGCTTTCCGACAGGATCACATTTTCCAGACCCTCCTCTTTCCCTTTCCTTCAAGCCAATTGACAACACCACGCCCGTCATCATGTTCACACAAACTCTTCGCGCTTCGGTACGGACCATCTCCAGCTCGAGAGACAGCTGAGCTAACAATTGCAGCGCTCCTCCATCGCCCGTGTCGCGAGACAGCAAGCTACCTCCAGGCGTACCTTCATCACTCCAACTGCCGTCCGCCATGGTTCGTAATACTCTCATCCTCAGGAGCTGCGATTCTCCTCCTGAAACCGCATCATGATCAGCAAATCTGCGAATCCCCGGTCCGCCCCGCCTGAGCTCCCAGCTAACATTCTCCCGTCATAGCGGATGTCATTTCGGAAATGTACATCCGCGAGCTCAAGGCCTACAAGACCCCAGCCGTCAAGGCCTCCGACGCCGAAGGCTCGGTCCACAAGTTCAAGGCGCCCGCCCTCCCTTCCTCCCCCGAGGAAGTGAACATCGCGAATGAGTTGAAGGCGTACGAGTCGCAGACTGTGGAAATTGAGGGCCAAGCTGAGGGTGGTGCTGCTGACATTGAGACCGATTGGTTTGAGCAAGAGCCTGAGGAGGAGGAGGCTCACCACTAGATGGGTCTTGATTGATGGTTGCGGGGTGGAGAGGAGGTGCCGAAGATGGATAATTCGGATCCAGTGTGTAGCATAGCTAGGGAGAAGATTGGGAATCTGTACAGTGAGGGCCTCTTGTGCCAGCTCCGAGTTCTATTGTGAAAGAGGGGAGCAAATTTTGAAGGGCAGGCAGCATTCACGGCTAGTGCCGAAGTTCCGAGGCATTGAAGTCGTTCGTCTACACAACTTGTTTGTGATGATGATAGGAAACTGGCATATTCCACTATACAGCTCGAAGCGTCCAGTTCGCAACCCACAGGGTGTCGTCAAATCAGCATCTGCTCTCAAGCCGAACCAGCAGTCAAGGTCCACGGCATCTATATCAATCTTTCTACCCGCATTCAATTTTCTGCTACATCCCCAACTTGGAACAGGCAGTCGCTCTATTGTACTCCTTCTCGACAGGAACCATGTACCGGGAGGCTCCTCCTGCCTTGCTTCCCGCCTTGCTTCGCCCTTTCTTCAAGATTTGCCTTGCCCATATCATGTATACGTGTTGCCGGTGGTCTGAACAGTATTGATTTGATGGCCTTTGGGCGGGAAGCATGTTGAAGATCCATTATGTTCGGGGCTGAATTCTCTCCGACTATCGAAACAAATCTTGGAACCCAATTTTTTGTCGGGGGTTTCAAAGATTTTCTTACATCTCCAATACCGCGAAGGTGGAGAAAGCGCGTGTTCCCGGACAGTAGCCTGATTACAACCCTCTCAGAAATGAATCAGACTCCCGGCTTATTGGATCACAACTCGGTAGCGACGGAGGAGCATTTCGAGTAGCAGTAGGTGTATTTCCCCGGGAACGCTGTCTTGGAAGTCCAACAAGAGAAAGCAGAAAAGGACCCCAGTGCCACATTCAGAGGGGTTTTCGAATTCAGTTATGGATCAGTATTTCAGATAAGAGCGAATGACGTGCTACGGAGTCACTATTCTGTGAGCCAGTCTGTCCTCATATTCCTCTGTCTTGACGTCGAGATCAACAAGAGAAGATTGCTAGACTACAACTGTACCACACCCGTAAACGAGTGGCCGTTGGATGACGACGACAGTGTCCTCAGGTCTCTACCAGGCTGTAGCGGGCTACTGCTCGGGCGGCTGAAAGCAGGTCCTATTTGTTTCTTCTGCTGAGACCTTGGATGATTCCATATTTGATTCCTCTCTCCCGTGCTATCAGATTGAAAACAGAAAGAAAAAAATAGGAACGGCAGCATAACCCCCACCCTCTGGTGACGAAGATCGAGCCGATTCTTCCTCTTTCGCTTCTCTCCTACTTACGAATGTCCTTAAATGCCTAAGCGCCCCTCGTTCTCTCCAGGGTTACATCTCGATCTCCATCTATCTCACATTCAACTTCCTCAAACCTTCCACGTACCATCCGTTGCGACGCCGGCTGGAATCCGTGAATTGACGTGGTTACCGGAGAGACAGACAGAAAGAGAGAGAGACAAGATTATATCCAGTCGGGAGACGCTCGGTTGTTGGTGTTCAAGCTCAGTAGATCTCTGCCAACGTATACGATGAATGTAAACAGACAAGTTGGATTGGACCGGTGGGATTCATACCTACCTACCTACCTACCTACCTACCTACCTAGGTACCTCCTACATACAAGGAAGTGATTCCCAAGTCAGAGGCTTGAAACGCTCGTTTGTGTATTATATGTATGTGTGGGTGTGTGGATAGAAACAGGCAGCTAGCTAGCTCATCGTACCTACCTCTACCTACCTATGTGGCTACCACACTAGCTAGCCAGCTACAATTCATAACACGGTTTTTTTTTTTTTTTTTAAGAAAGGAGAATGATCAATATCCACCAAGAAAACATATATATATGTAAATATATATATCTCCAGAAACAAAAACCACCAATCTTCCTCATCCGGCGCTCGAACCGATGTCTCCGGCGCCTATCAATACCCGCTCACGCTTCCTTGCTTCACGAGCGTGACCAGGTTTGAAAAGCCGGCGTGCTAACCCCTACGGTAGGTACACTGATGAGGATCCACCTTTTTTGGGGGGAAGGGGGGGGGAAGGGGGGCTTGCCTCTCTCGTACCTACGTGTAACGATCCGTGATCGAAGGCTTGTCTGTTTTCGGTATAGCTACTAAGTAGAAGAAGATCTCTTTTGTTCCTCTCGGGCAGGAGCGGGTGCAGAACTCCATCCCTTTTGATTGAAAAAAAAAGAAAAGAAAAAAAAAAAAAAAAAAAAAGGGAGCGGACATGTGCAATGGCGTCTCGGGTCTTCGCGCAGCCGGAATGGGTGAATGGGGTTAATCACTTGATACCGTAGGTATCTATCATCGTATCGTATTCTTTTGGTTTACGAAGTCTTACACTGCTTGTTACTGCTTGCTTGCTACTTACTACTTACTTCTTGCCTGCTGCTTGCTTGCTTCCTACTTAGGTACTTCTTGCACGTTACTGCTTGCTTGCTGCTTACTTGCTATTGCTGTTACTTGCTTGCTGCCTATGGGCTATACTCACTCCAAAGGATCAAGGAAAAAAAAGAAAACACCATGCGACGACCGCAAAGCCAGTACAGGCAGGTAACGTAAATGACCAACGAACCAACGAGCTATCCAAGGAGAGATAGAAGCAGCTACCTCGCTAGATAGCTTCTGCCTCTCTTCCATGTTCCCATAGAGAGGGCTATCTATCCCATCTTATCTTCTCTCATCCTATCCTATCCTATCTATCGAGTCTCGACCAAGCAGAGGCTGGGAAAATATATATATATATATATTTACGAATCCCCAATGAATCAATCAATCAATCTTTCTTACGGTTTTTTTTTTTAGTTGAGGTTGTCGGCATCTTTGAAGCAAATGCCATGATAGGTATGCCATCTATCTATCTATCTGATGAAGATCTCCCCCGTTCAAACAAACACACACACATACGCACACACATACACACAGAGAAAGAGAGCTGCAGGAGCCGACACCGAGATTTCCTCCCACGCTCCCACGCTCCCACGCTCCCACGCTCCCACGCTCCCACGCTCACACGCTGCCACGTTCTGACTTACTGCCCCGGATCCTGATCACCAGGCGTGCCGCGGTAGGGAGGGATGACTGATGGGTGATCATTGATAATCATCCGTAAGCTGACCAGATGGGTGGATGAGACATATTACTCAGCCGTACACGTGCCGTGATAGACATACCGGTACCTACGCCCTGAATAAAGCACAGTAAGCAAGGCACTCACACATGCATACACATACCGGTACACACATACACACATACAATTGTCACCTGTGAGACTATCCGTCATGATTACATTATCATGCTATTTACTTCGCGAAACAAACTACGGATTATGGCAGATCTCCTACCCCGAAAAGGAAGGGAGGGAGGCGCACCCGCCTCGTATCGATGCATCGCTCTTCCACTCATCCAATACCGTTCAGCCATGCTCGTCGAGTCCGTAACCTATACAGCCAGTAGGCACGTCTCCGAGCCAGGTGCTATATACCACCGCAATTTCCTCCGGAGACAGGAAGGCAAGTCGAAGACACAGTGCCTGAGCCCTGAGATAGTTTCCTCTACTAGGGCTGTTGAAATTCGAACTTGCAAACCGCCCAAAAAAAGACTCGCTGTGCGGGCATGTACCGCATTATTGTAAAGGCACAATCGCAAAGTATATCGTCGTCTCGTATCCACATATCAAAGAGGAGGCAATGCAGACAGACTCATTTCAGCACCGCGAGCGAATCCCGTTGATGGCCAAATCTCGTATGCCGCGATCAAAGCCGAAAGCGATCTCGCCTCCATTGAAGCATCCACCCTGGACTCCGCCCAAATGCCAAAGAAACTCCGACCTAATGCGTTGGTATGTCGTGTAAAGGAACTCGTGAAAACCCAAGCGAATCCATCAGGAACATGGGAGGCAGGTAGGTGACGTCGAACACCCATTTACATGTCGAAATGTCCACCGTTGAACATACTACTGTCCTCATTAGTATTGGTCTTGACGATACCGCTCATCCGAGAGCCACGACGGTCGCTGCCGAAGGGGTCCTCTTGCTCTTGCTTCTCGTCTTCGTCCATGTCGTCAAATTGGTACTTGGCGCCTCTAGCTTGCATATGCTCTTCTATTGAACTTTCGTCAACAAAAGTAAAGCCTTTGAAGTTTGCTTGCATTCCGGGAGACAGAGGAGTAGAAGTGGCGACGCCAGCCGCTAGAGCGGCAGCACGAGCGTTGAGAGAGGAAGCACCATTGAGAGCATTGGTGAACTCAGGGTCAAAATTGGAGGTATCTGTCTCCGACTTGAGCTTTGGCTTAAAAGGAGGCGTAATCAACTTCTTGGTTAGAGCAACCCAATCGATATCAGCAAAGAAAGGGTGCCTCTTGAGCTCCTCAGCATCGTCCGTTGCTCCTAGGCGGTGCTTGGGGTTTCGATTTAAAAGGCCCTTGACGAAGTTTCGACCCTCGACGGTGAGAGTTTCCCTGGGGAATCGAACCTTACCAAAGGCAATGTTCTTGTACATTTGCTGAGTATCCTCGGCGTAGAAGGGGCTCCAACCGCAGCACATTTCGAATACTAGAACTCCAAGAGACCAGAAGTCGACCATCTTGGTATATCCGGCTTCGTCCAACAGGACTTCGGGAGCTAGGTACTCGGTCGTACCGCAGAATGTGTTGGTCGTAGCGTTTTTGGTCAGGTTGGCCTTCGACAAGCCAAAATCGCAAAGAGCGATATGGCCGTTGGCATCCAGCAGAATATTCTCTGGCTTCAAATCCCGGTAGACAATGTCGTGCATGTGGAGGTGTTGAAGGGCCATGATAAGCTCAGCTATATAGAACTTTGCTCGCTTCTCGTCAAATCGTCCTTCCTTCTGCAGATGCCAGAACAGCTCGCCACCCGACATGTAATCTGTGACCAAGTAAAGATCTGTCGGTGTCTGGAACGAGAACTTGAGACCGACGATGAACGGGGAATCGGCCATGGCAGTTCTGACAAGTATGTTTCGCTCTCCCACTGTGTGGGCGACCTCCTTCTTCTGAACAATGACCTTCTTCTGGAGAACCTTCATGGCGTAAATTCTCTTCGTGTCTTTCTTTCGGACTTGGTAAACTTGACCAAAAGTCCCCTTTCCGATTAGCTTCAGGATTTGGAAATCCTCCGGCCCGTAGTGTTTCTTCTCTGTTCGTTGAAACGTGACTTCAACGTATATCTCTCCTGGGAGACCGGAATCGGTGTCGTTTCGGCCTCGAAGTGGGAACCAACCTTGAATCGGCGAGTTATCGCCCTCGGTTAGACTCGCTTCCAGATCAACGTGGCCCAGGAACTCCTCTGCAGCACTGCTTCTCTCATAGATAGTGAGATTGATGCGCGAGTCTGATCCAACGACATCACTGAATGACATTAGTGGTTTTGCGACGATGCTTCAAGATGGGGAACCTTACAAGACAGCCTCGGTATCCCATTTGGGGTTGGTCATTGATCTCCGGACCTTGCTCTTGAAGTCGTGGTACTCGGTAGTGCTGGTGTTGCTGCTTTGTCTGCTCTTCATGGGGATTGCCATTGGTCGACCGGAATCGCTACCCGTGCGAGAGATAGGGATTCCGCCCATGGGGCTACTCGTGGCATCTTCGTCTTCGTCGTCTTGCTGACGAATGGGGCCCTTGGAGACAAGCTCATTTCTCTGGAAGACAGCTACAACATACGGATCTCTGCTCTTTCTCAATCCCCGAGCTTCGGTGATCTTGACGGTAAGCTTCCCCTTTGGTGCTGGAGCTTGTACTCCGGGTGATCCCGACGACACAGACGTAGCCGGTGTGACTTCTTTCGGATGGTGTCCATTCGCCGGGTCTGATCCACCGCTAACATCCGACTTGACGGTCTGGTTGGAAAGCGCACGAGTTGGAGAGGGAGGAATGCTCTTTGTATGCGGAACGTCATCAGTTAGCTTCTTGAGCCGATCATAAGATGGAGACTCGTGAAATTCAGGGTTCAAGCGGGAGTGTGAGAAGGTATCTAGTGAGGTGGCGGGATTGCGATCGGTGGGGTTCGAAAAATGTGTAGCATGAACATTGGAAGTCGTCACCACACTCGAGAGCGGATTCATCAAAGAAGCTCGACGAGCGCCTTCCGGAAGGGAATCCGATAGACTCTTGTGGTGAGAGAAGCTAGCTGGCTTCCTTGCTGTGAATCTTTCCTCGTCCTCTGAGCTAGCATCGCTCAACTTCAACTTGTGCAGTGAAGGTGATTGAGAAACGGGTGGTGTCGGGTATGAGTGCAGGGCTGATCGGGGAGGTTCTAGTGCCAGAGACCCTGACCGCTCATTGTGGGGGAGCGGTAGGGTTTCTGAATCTGATTGGGGGCAGGCACTCGCAGTCTCATGGCAGGATTCTGGAGTCGCTGATGACAAGAAGTCGGGAGCCCCTCTTTCTACCGGGTGGGAAGAAGGAGGACTGCTTCCCGCCTTGCCCCCCAAGTCAAGAGATTCAGGCAGACCGGAGTTTGGACTCGTAAAAGAACCTGTACCAACCTGTCCAAAGTAACTGTGTATAATTCCCGGCAACCGCTTGTCCGAGGGATCGGGTTGGGGAGTCGCGACACCGGAGCGGGGAGTATCGGAATCGAAGCCATTGTTGGCGTCATCCTCTCTGTTGTGAAGCATGTCAGTAAGAGTTTGTGCCATATTCGAAGGTGCAACGGCCAGAAAACATGGGGGAGGGAAGTGGTGTAATGTTTGAGCTGCTAGGAATGAGAACAAATAGAATCAGACTCGAGGTGCAGACACTGCTGGGTGAAATGTAGGAGTGGAAAGTATTCTTTCTTCAGACGCGAAGAAAAAGACCAAGATCGCCTCTTTCCGGGCACTTCTAGAAGCAAGCGCCAGTCACCAGTCGCCGCATGGCATGGCACTGCATGGCATGGCATCGATAAGCCAGCCAGTGATGCGCGTGGTGCTGCGTGGGACCCTTCACCAGGGATTCCCGCCACCCTCTTCCCCCCCCCTCCCACCCCCCCCATCCCCCAACGTGAAGTGAAGTTAGACATGTGGGAGAGCAGAAAACCTCGCTATGGGTGCGTCTGCAGAGCCAAAAACACCAACATCCCACGCACGGTGGCGACTCCGCACAAAACTATTGTAGCAGTGTTCAACCCTGTCGTGAAAGACCCATACAGATGGACAGACAAGCAATTGTAGGCAGCTCGAGGCCTGGACCGTAGCCTTGACCGTAGCCTTAACCGTGGCCTTGACCGTGGCCTTGACCACAACAAAGAAAGCCCTGCCCCTCGCCTTTGTGTAGTATCGTACCTCGAAGACATGAGCGTCTGTGTTGCTTGCTTGAGCAGATCCATTTCGTTCCCTGCCATAGCAGACTCCGCGGGCGCGGGTTGCCAGCTCGGTCGGGGGAGGTCGGAGGAGGAGAGGAGTCGAATGCGAGGTTGGTAGGTCGAGTCGTGGAGTGTACCGGTAGACTGATGCGACCACAGTAGGAGGAGGTACCTAGCTACGTAAGGTCGTTTCAAACCTATGACGATGGGATCAACGACGGCGGACGGACTTGATTCGTGACGGTCGGCGGTGGTCGTCGGCAGCGCGAGGACTTGCGTATGCTGGTCGTTGTACCAGAAAGAAGACGAGGAAGAGGGAGAGGAATGAAGAGGTCGGTGAAAAGAGTTGTATGTAGTGGGGGTTGAGATGGGGATGAGAGGAGGCTTGATAGGTACTTGCCGATAGGGTATACGGAAGGCGGGCGGGCGTATGAAGCACTCGCTAGTGAGCAACGAACGGCCCGCGCGAAGGTGAGCCCAGCTCCGTAGACCTATTCGAATCTCGGAATTTGTCAACAACCCAATGACTCGTAGACGTCGAATCGAATCGAATAGGAGGGAGAGAGGATAGATGCAGGGACAAGTCAGAGGCGGGTTTCTGCTCTCTTTCTTTCTTTCTTTTTCTTTTTCTTCTTCTTTTTCTTCTTTCTTTTTTCTTTTTCTTTTCTTCTTTTCTTCTTTTCTTCTTTTCTTCTTTTCTTCTTTTCTTCTTTTCACCTAGGGATAGTGCAGTGGAGGGAAGGGAAGCGAGGGCGTTCAGCTTTTCTTTATCATTAAGGAGTTGATCTGTTTATATTATGTTGCTGCACTGCAGCTGATTGATTACGTCCGTATACCGGTAGCGGGTCCGACGGTGTGAGATGTGAGTGAGTACCGGTATTATGTCCGAACGTATAGGTACCTCCATACATGGATAGATACATATCCGCGGCAAGCTTGCAGTTTGCGAGTACAAAGTATAGTATAAATATATAGATATATATATATATATCTCTATCTTTGTACATGCCTCGCTTCAGTACAATCCCTCGCCAGGCCTCCTCACAAAGGGCAAAGCGGTAGGAGTACCTGGTAGTAGTACAAAGGGAGACAAGAAAACTCACTACTGTACCAGTTGGTCTCGCTCTTTGCTCTTTGTTTTCTTTCTTTCGCAGTCAGTTTATTACTCCAACATTACTGCCGACGTCATTACCCGATCCGCCTCACCACGCCATGCTATGCTATGCTATGCCATGCCACCCCGGTCTGGCTCAGAGATCTCGTCTCTCCACTCCAAATCCGCTCCGCTCCGCTCCGTTCCACTGTTTACTAATGGGCCAAAACAAGATCAAGGACTACCGGTAGAGGCATTGATTGCACTTCGTTGAGTAATGAAGACGGACAAGCCTCATCCAACAGCCCAAGCCATGGCCGAGGCAGCCGACGGCCTCGGGGAAAACCTGTCCTGGTCATCGTAACCGTAACCAACCCAAGCTGACCGACAAGTCCAGTGTAAGTACCTAAGTAGTACCTAAGTAGTGCATGTATTTCCTGCATCTCAGCTCTCAGCTCTCAGCTCTCACCTCTCACCTCTCACCTCTAAGCCCCCCAATGGCGGACCACTCGCCTCATCTCAGCTAAGTACTTAGCTGTCTATAGCCGGTAGATCTGAGCTGACCCAAGACTCGACTACGGACGTGACACTACCCTCGCAACCCCAACAAGATACGAAGTGCCGTGACACGGCGGCGGTCCGATATTACGACTGGTGACCAGATGTACCACGTTTCGAGGTTGGTCTATTGATTGTAAGTAAGTAGGTAGTGAACATGAGCTGGAACGCCCAACGGGTACATAACAGAGTGAGGGACTTGAATACTTCCTTGATCTTATGCTGACTAATCATCGCTAAGTCACGAGCCCCCTTGGCCTCAGGTTGCAACAGTAAGTAGGTAGTAAGCTGAGAGCCTCATCCAGTCGCGTCGACCAGGGTCAGGGAAATCCCATAGTTCCCAACAGCTTCGGGACTTTCACCACCAACACTGTAATTGGACCTCGAAGAGCCGTGCAAGATGGGCAAAAGACCTGGAAGAGCCGCGGCCAAAAATGCTGCTGCCGCATTGAGTGCGTTCCCTTGCTACAGATCCTCCGGCGCATTCATGATCGTGCCAGTCAGTCAGTTACTAACCGACTATGCGCCTCTAGAAAATACCCCTCAATACGACGATGGCGAGGACGATCAGATGCGGGATGCTTTTGAGTCGGATGATGACAATGCGCCAGACCCGGAAGACGACAATGCCGAAGAAGCAGAGGGCTCCCCAGCGGCGGAGTCGGACCCAGAGGAGGACCGACCATCAACGCCAGTCCCAGAGCCCGTCGTCCGCAAGAAGAGATTAGGGAGACCACCCAAGAACAGACCTGCCGATTGGGACTCTGCAGGCGCCGATAGCCCCCGTGAAGATACCCCGAGAAGAGGGCGGGGACGGGGTGGGTACCGTGGTGGTGGTCGCTGGGCAAAGAACAGAGGCGGACCTTCGCACGTCACCCAACAGCCGATTGACAAGGAGGGGAACATGATGGATGTGGTTGATGACGAGGTCATGTTACCGGAGGATGCAGAGGGCGAGGCGAAAGTCGATAAGATGGGCAACCTGCAAGGCGGACGGGAATATAGATGCAGAACGTTCACCATCCTCGGCAGAGGCCAACGTCTCTACATGCTGTCTACCGAGCCGGCAAGATGTGTGGGTTTCCGAGACAGTTATCTCTTCTTCACCAAGCATAAGCGACTCTACAAGATCATCATCAATGAGGATGAGAAGCGCGATCTGATCGACCGCGAGCTCATTCCTCATTCGTACAAGGGTCGCGCGATTGGAATTGTCACTGCCCGGTCCGTCTTCCGCGAGTTCGGTGCGCAGATCGTCGTCGGCGGTAAACGCATTACCGACGATTACGAAGTTACAAAGCGCAAGGCCGAGGGAGCGATCGAGGGTGAGCTGGCTGATCCAACCGATCTTATTAAGACGGGCGAGGAGTACAACAAGAACCAATACGTGGCATGGCATGGTGCAAGTTCGGTGTACCATTCCGGTGTCCCGACTGTTCCTCAACAAGCAGGCAAGCCACCGGGGGGTGTCAAGCGGAAAGTCATGATCAACGACATGAATTGGATGCTGGAGCATGCCCTGGCAGCAAGGTAGGTTTAAAAAAAATTATAATCGAGATCTCATGTGCTGACTTTCGATAGCCAATTCAACGCTTCTCTGGGTGTAAACCGTCGACAAATACTCAAAGGCAGTTATGACGTACATACAAATGTCAAGCACTATCCCAAGATCATGCAGCCGACTCACGCCAGATGGGAGCAGATCGACGATCACGAGGAAACAGCCACCGCACCGCTCACAAACGGCGATAGCGAGAATCGCGCAGAAACGGATTTCTTCACTCCCGTGAAGCCCATCTACTCCAAGAACTTCATGATCGTCGACACCGTCTACGAAACTCCAGCATCTAATTTCGGCGTTCCAGGTCCAGACGGTGATTTTCATGACCTTGGCTTCAACGGCTTATCGTCTATTTCGGACGACGTTAAGGCTGAGCTCCCTGACGATTGTCGTATGGCTCTCGAGGAGGCGCTGGCAAAGGAATTAGAGTGGAAGAGCAGGTGGGGATCAGAGACTGCAGATGGGCACAGAAAAGCTCCTATTATCGACAAGGGGGTTGTGTAGGTCGAGGAGAGGAAGACTTTGCTTTGATGGGTGACACGATAGGCGATGCTTGGCGCATTTATGATCAGTCGGATAGGGATTGGCACAATCTGGCGTTCTCCTGGATTCTCCTGAAAGTTCTGGACGGTTAGAACTGGCGTATATGCAATGGAATGTTGGCTGTGCTTTGGTTGGATACGATTTCTGAAAAACAGCTGTGAGAACAGGTGAGATCCGCTGAAAAGGTCAAGCAGTCAGGAGATTTGTGTGATACCAACTGGAAGAGTCGTGAATCAGTCGTGCCCTGCTCGCTAAACTCCACATGTACTAGCGTCTGGTTACCGAAGTATATACTGACTGCAAGCATTCGTATAACCAACACCACCACCAGCAACACCACTACCACCACAGAAATCGTCCAGCTCAAACACTGCAAACCAGCACAGCCAAAGACAACCAACTAAGTTGCTCCAAGCAAGCTCCCCGCTTCTCATAACTTTCTAACTTCTCAAATTACGTTTCAAACTATCAAACGTCAAGCAATAGCAAACCAACTATCCATCCGTCAAAATGTCGAGATATGATTCCTTCCTCTCGCTCTGCCTGGCTCAGGCCGACCTCTCGCCCCTGCATTATCGACACGGTGCCATCATCGTGAAAGGCGGCAAAGTCATCGGCCAGGGCTTCAACTGCTACCGCCCGGGTTTCGACGGTGGCGCTCTCAAGAGCGGTGCTCTACCAAGCTCGAGCCTGGACGGCCTGGCTATCGCTGAGTTGAAGCAGCGTTTGAATTCGAAGCCGAAATGTAAGTCTAAGCTGCAAAATCAGCCGGACGAGAGTACTTTTACGCCCTTCGAGTCCATGGGCTGCGGCCACAACGCCAATGTGGCTCTCTCGATGCACAGCGAGATGATGGCCATCCGCAGTGCTCTCTCCCTGTCTTCCGGTATCCAGGCCTCTCAAACCTCTGCCCGCTCCGCGAAGTGCTTCCAAAAACCGTGCTTCAAGTTACCGGGTGATTCTAAAAAACGCAAAGCCCGAGCACGAGGCCTCAAAGCCTACGCGAAAGCCATCTGCGAGGAAGCAGAGGCCGCAGCCGGCACTGGTAACTCCTTCGCTGGCAAGCCCTCTCTTCAAGAGTCGCCTTTTGAAGCCGGTTCATCTCAACCAGGTGGGTCCGTACGAGGGCAACAAGGCCAACGACACGGAGGAGAGCAGCGGGTCTCGGAACGTGAAGGGGAACGAGAACGTGGCGGCGAACACGTGGAAAAGTGTGAACAAAAAATCAGCCAACAAGAAGTCGTCGGACAGCTATCAGTATGGGCATCAGTACGAGGGTCACTATCATCACAAGACTTACTATCCGCATAAACACGGATCAGGGCCACCCAAATTTTCTAAAGTGAAGACTGTGAAGAGCATCTCTACACCTACACCGGACCAGCAGCTATGCAGCTCCGACGATGATTTTATCAACATGCAGAAAACTAAGTCTAGAGTATAAATCCTTTCCACACCATCTTAGTGATGAAGCTAACCTTTCATAGCCTACAAAAAAGGTTTCTATCCCGCCTAGACCCCAGCAGATCCTTGTCACGAAAAACAAATCCACCTCCAAACCCAACCTCGCAGCACGCACCAAAGACTCGCGTCTCAATGGCTCAGATCTCTACGTCGCCCGCCTCGGCGCCTCCAACAAGACGCCTCTCCTAAAACCGAAAGTTCGGCCATCCGTCAACCCTCCCCCGCTGTCATCTCCCCCCAAATCCGAGCCATCCTCCCTCTACGACGAGCTCTCCTTCCGTTCCCGCTCAGCTGCCCCTTCCTCGTCATCCTCCATTCCCAAGCCTGAGGCTGAGCCTAGGCCAGAGATTCGCGCCTCGAGACCCTGCTACAGATGCGTAAGCGCCATGCACGCCGTCGGGATCAAGCGGGTGTTTTGGACTACTCAAGGCGGGGAGTGGGAGGGCGCCAAAGTCAGGGACTTGGTGGATGCGTTAGAAGTTGGGGCCGAGGGTGATGGGAATGAAGGAGAGGGCGTCGGGACAGGGCAGGAGAGCAAAGGGGTTTTTGTGACGAAGCATGAGGTTTTGATGCTGAAGCGGATGATGGGGCTTTAACACGCTCGTTGTTGCTCGTGTGCGTTGTTTTTGCAGTTTTGGGCTGGGCAGGGAGGAGGGGGCTGAAGATTTCCGTGGTTAGTGATAGTGGCAGTGACGTGAGCAGCGAGCGGCGACAGAGACAAGAATATATGACATGATATGGCAGCAGCACATCTATCTATATGGATAAACATGCAGCGCAGTGATACAGTGCAATCGATACTTCTCCAAAAACCCTTTGGCTAACTCAGTACTTACCTCAAAGTTTGCGCCAGCCCATTACTTTCTAGACGACGTCGACGTCGACGACAACGACCTGACGAGCAGCCAGCCAGCCAGCCAGCCAGCCACTCACTCAATCACTCACTCCAAGCACGAAGTGTGAGCTGGTCATCGCTCTTGATTCCCGGAACTGCCTTTGCGCTCGCTTGAGGTATGGGCACGGCAAGGAAAGGAAAGGATAGGAAAGGAAGGAGGCTGATTGCTCGATTGCTCGGTTTGGTCTGACGAAGTCTGTCCATCCACCTATCTCCCACCTATCTCTCTCTCTCTC